GGGCTAACGTTAGCCCTGGCCGCTGCAGACGGGCTAACGTTAGCCCTGGCTGCTGCAGACGGGCTAAGATATATATTTTTTAAATTAAGCATTAAATCAGTAAATGGGCCATATAGTGACGCTTCAAAGTATTATATCTTCCCATCAAAGGATCTTAAAACGTACTTTTATTGAACAACAGCAGCAGGAAAGAGAACTTTCAGTGGAGTGCTCCATTGGAAGCTGCTGCTGCCGCAGTGCATGCTGGGAAAGCGGTCAATCTCAAGAACGGACAAGTACACATAGTGATAAACGGCCCTAGATTCAACCTGAAAAGTTAAATAAATGTGATTCCAAGAGGGATTGGACTTATGGGCTGGTTATCCTCCTGCCGCAGATATTTTTGATTTCTGCCCAATATTGAAGCGTGGTCTGCGCCATGTTATTCCACGCCACAACGGCAGAGGGCCAATCAGGAACTAGCTGTGGGTCTAGATACGGCCGAGGCGGTGAGGAAGTGGGGGCAAGTTTGTGCGACAATGGAGGGACATGAGGGCCAAAAAGAGCGGGGATCCAGGTGGGAAAAGGGTCCCAGCATTCTCACCTCGCTCTGCTAGCTGCTCCGTCTTCACCAGTCGTTTTCCACAATGGAGGTCAGACAAACAAAACCAGCCGGTAAGGAACCAACCAGGAAATACGCATAGAGTAGAGGGATGGAGATCTGACCAATCAGAGGCCTCCTCACCTACAATTTGGCCAGACAACCTGGTTTCTGAGCATAAACCAGACGATAGATATGGGCGGGATAGTTCAAGTGGTACGTAACCCGTGTCGTAAACAGGAAGCCTGGGTTTGTATCCCGGCTGGGGGAATGAGCTGCCAGTGGGGGTCCTTAGGCAAGGACCTGCTTTGGGGAGTGGCGGCCTGCTGGTTGTGGTACTGCACTTGGAATCCGGAGGTTCTGAGTTCAAGCCCCACTCCCACAGACTGCCACTCTGGCTCCCTGAGCAAGACCCTTAACCTCACACTGCTCCCCACTGGAAAAAAAAAAAGATGGCACTTAGAACCTTTTCTGTGGAGGATTCTCTAGAACTGAGTTTGTCTTCGACCACATCGAGCTTCACTGGGACGCATCGCCGCATGGTCGGGCTCTCTTAAGTAGCTGCTTTATATGTCGGCATCTGACTTTCTGGTAGTTCTGTGGTTCTGCCAGTAGATGGCACCTCACCTGTTTAGGTCCGCTCATCGCACCCCCTGCTGAAATGCTATTTATACCGAGAGAGAACTACTGTCACAATGAATATCACCTTATTAATAAGGATCAAGTGTTTTTTGAATTCTGCGCGTTAAAGAACCTCTATAGATGAAGCCGTCAGTTTGACTCTCTCCTCTCTAGAACCTCTCCTCGTCTCTGACCCGTTTCTCTCCTCTACAGAAAGGACCGGAGACCAAAAAATCAGAGATTCTGGTTCTGGATCCAAAGAGGAGTAACGCCATCAACATCGGTTTGACCGTCCTGCCTGCCGTCCACGTCATCAAGGGCGCCATCCTCAGCTTCGATGAGTTCGCCATCAGCAAGGAGGGGATCGAGGTGCTTCCCGTCTTCTCGTGGATCAGAACATCTGACCCGAGCGTGAAGGACCTGGATCTTCATGCCGTCTCTCTCTCTGTCCTGAGCAGAAGATCCTGACCATGGTTCCCACTGAGGAGGAGAAGCAGAAGATCCAGGAGGCTCAGATGACCAATCCTGACGTCCCCCTGGGAACAGCAGAGCAGTTCCTCCTTACCTTGGCCTCCATCACTGCCTTGACCCCCCGCCTGCAGCTCTGGTCTTTCAAACTGAACTATGAGGTGCTGGAGAAGGTGAGCGATCCGACTGATCCACAAAGTCTTCGTCATGGAGATCTGTTTTTTTTCTGAGATCTAGAAGAAAAGGAGCCTCAGAGCTTAGGTCTGCTCTATGTCGCCCCCTGCAGGAGATCGCAGAGCCGCTGTTTGACCTGAAGCTGGGCATGGAGCAGCTGGCGTCCAACCAGACCTTCAGGAGGATCCTGGCGACTCTCCTCGCCATTGGAAACTTCCTGAACAGCAGCAATGTAAGGAAAACGCCGCCAATCAGATAAACATGAGAAGATCCCGACGTTACGGCCGTTAAATTAATTGATACTTCGATATAATCGATTCTAGAGAATTCAATTAATAAAAACTTTCAGCAGAATCTCCACACCATAAAAATCTGGAAGTTTTGCTAAAATGTCAAGTAAAGGCAGAAAAAAAACACGCAAATCTTTTAAAGGAGAAGTCCGGTCAGCGAGGAATAATCGATGGATCGTTATTTATACGTAAAACTAAAACGTTCGCGGTGATTTAATGAATTAAGCGTTAATCAGTAAAAAACTAAAAATGATCATTTCCGATCACTGAGTCTGGGAGCAGCCATCTTTGCCCAAATATAGTAGCCCCTCCCTCCTGCCATCTTCCAGCAGTGACGTCACGGTGCGGTAAGCCTAGCGCCATTCTCCCCGCTTT